TGTGTGGTATATTGTTCTCCTACGCATGAAACAAACATGAAAAAAAGTTGAAAATGTAAATAAAATTAAAATTATTTTAATTTACTAATACTGTATCTGTCTCTGCTTTTCAGAACAGTTTCAGCAGCACAACCAGAAAGACAATATGGGAGCTGGAGCTTCAGTGACTGGCAATGTAAATAACAGCATAATTACTCCACAGTCTGCAAGACCAATGCAACTGGGAAGCCACTTCGTATATTTTATGGAGTGGATAAGAAGGAGCTTGAAGAAATGGTGCTACACGATGGTGGAGAGTTTTTTAAGTCTGTACTCAAGGACCAATACGTTCAACTCAATATCAACACACACTTACCGTTTCCTGAGAAAGGTGTAAACTATGCCCCTGTATTTGTGGGAGATGAGCATGACGGAAATACTTGCCTGGAAACCGTTGTGCTCAACTACAGTGTCCTGGAAAATCTTTCATTATAGCAGCTGACCACAGCATCAAGATCCACAAGTTAGGAGCAGGCCCCTGGGTGGATGAAGAAGGGCATGACCACACTACAAAGTAGATTTACAGCAACACCTGGTTATTTTCGATACCAAATAGATCAAAATGGAGAATCTATTCTTTCAACAAATACAGTAAAGATGAAATCATTCTTTGCTTAAAAAGCATTTTTGGCACATTTCTGCACCATTGTAGATTATTTGTAAACATTATCATAGATATCCTCACTTAAACATTGGACGTATGCTAAGGAATCTTAATTGCTTGTAATTTAAAATTCCCTGAAGAACTACTACTAATAATACAATATATTCTGAGGAATCTTCATTGTTTGTTATTTAGAATTCCTTGTCGTACTACTAATAATACAATGTACACTCTGTTACTAATAATACAATGTGCACTTCTTTTTCCCTCAAATTTCCAAGTCAATGCTGCTTAACATTGTCAATTAATAAAAACTGCAAGATCTGAAGTATAGTCACCCTGTGTTTTGATACACACATTATTAGCATTCAGTTTACACAACTAGTCATGGTATGTTCAGTGTTTTCCAGATGTATTCTATCTAATTGATGAAATACATTCAAAAAACATCAACAGAAATGAAACAGGCTTGCAGAGAGTCTGACGTGTAACAGTGAGTGGATAGCTGCATTTTACACCAGTATTATGTCAAATGCCCCAGATGTAGGTAGAAGATCGATGTGGAACTGGTGTATAGGTATCCAGTTGGTTAGGGATGAGGAAATAGTTCTCCTTTTTAGAGAGATCTGTGTGCCTGAGCTCAAGTGCTACATGTGTGGTTCTGAGGCGAATGCTGAGGCAGCCATATGAGTATCTGGTATAACAGTACTGATAAGCAGAGTAGTTGCAGTCAAGGAAATTATTAGTGCATGCCCATGCATCTGTCAGAAAAAAAAAACGAGCATGCCGCATTCCTAGTCTAAGGGGTTGCCTAGAGGTGACTAGCAGAGATAAACTTCCACTATGTCACATGTTTAAACAATTCAAATAGGTTACTGTATACTGTAATCATAATAGCATTGCACAAAACAACATCATATTTTCCATGAACATTTCAATAAATTCCTGAATACGCAATAATTTATTTACACATTTATTCAAACCTCTGTCGTCAATATTTTCTTAGTCCTCCTCTGAAGGGGAATTTTGACTCCCTTGGTGGAGAATTGGTCTTGTGAACCTTTTGTGAACTGCTCACTTGCAGCTCTGAGCCATCCATAATTTCCTTGCCAATGTTTCTGTACTTGGCCTCTACTTAAAAAAAAAATCTACTAGCTTGCTAATGTCACAGTGAGTTCGCCCCTCAAACAACCATTATTTCCTGCCTCGTATACGACTATGCCACCTAGCAATACAAACAGGGTGCTAGGGGCCCTCTACATTACCACAGGTTTTGTTTATCTCCCAGAATCACCAGTGCACACACAGACCAGTGACAAGCATTTGTATCATATAAATGCCCTTTTTTATTTTAGAAGATACGATTAATTTATTAACCATATATAATTTCGTGTATTAGGAATTTGTCTTTTCACATACCCCAACTTGCTCTCCATGAGACACACAGACAGGAAGAGAAGCTTGGGGTCAGAGCACAGGGTCAGCCATTTATACAGCACCCCTGGAGCAGTTGAGGTTAAGGGCCTTAGGAGCCCACCAGAGTAGGATTTCTCTGCCAACCATGGGATTCAAACAGGCAACCTTCCAGCCACAGGCGCGGATCCTTAGCTAAAGAGCCACCCCATGAGTCAGTAGAAGCAGTATCTTCACAGAAGAACCTGACAGCAGTGGGATTCCAACCCACTACATTCTACATTCTACATGCTACATTCACATTCACTAAAGACGCAACAAAATCAGCATTTGCAGCAACAAAAGGTCCTTCCGAGGGTCATACTGAATTCCTGAGTGTCGTCCGTCCTTTTCCTTAAAGTATTGAAGAGATACCACTAGAATGTTTCTTCTTAGTATCTGTAAACATCTTTGATGGCTCAGAGGAGAACAGACACTTAGAGGATACCACTCAGTCCAACTTCCCCAGTCTCCATTTGGGTATTACTACAAATCCTCCCATGGGCTGTGCTACATTTCCCTCAGTTTGTATCAGCTAGCCGGGCCAGTTTCTTTGTTCCTTTCCTCCAGGTATTAAATGTGTCTGTACAGTACCTCTGTTCCAAAGCCAGTGTCTCCTGTAGTCTTCACTTCCTAGACCAATAGTTCCTTGCCTCCATGGTCTCGTACTCTGCAGCTTCCCTTGTGCCGTCTCCAGTCCTCGGGGCTCATCATTAGGGTAAGGATGTCGCGAGGCCCACCTAGCACCAGGAAACCCTACGTCCGTCTCCTGAGGGCATAGGCCTCATCCCCGACACCTCCCGCTTTCTGAGCCCAGGGTCGGGGAGGATCTCGCCCCGTCACCCTTGGACCTCCATGTTTTGTCTGTCCGTGTGTTCCCCCCTTCTGGGGATTTTAACCTTGTTGCACCCCAGGATGGATTACTCGCTGATGGACTCTTGGACTGTGCCCTGACCTGCTTTTGGACCTGTTTGGATTTGGATGCTATTCTTTGTCTTCCCCACACACTGTCTCACGGACCGTCACTAGTATTTTGTGCACTATTAAACCCCTGTGTGTTTCCTTTTACCACGCCTCCTGTTTTCTCCAGCTCTTACCGCATCGCATAGGGTCTACTACAAGACCTGACACGGATCTCAGTCTGTGTTCGTGACATTTCTGAGAGAATATGTAACACATCTGATAAGATTGTGTAACAAAGAGTTATACTTTTTGACAGAATCTAAATTGTATCGTTCCCCTGAAAGGTCAAATATAAAATATAAGAAACAATTGTGCAATAAATGGTTAATTATAAATGATCTTATACAAAGACAACGTATGAATCTTTCCCAGTAAGAAAATCTATTTTGGCATGGTTAATAATAATTCTTTAATTTTCTATAAGGTTTCATTGTAAAGTTAATTTTTCAAAGTGCCTTTAAATGTATTTTTATTATAAATTTATTCAAGTTGAGGTCCTTGATAATACTGAATTTGTGATAACTATAGGGTAATTGCTTCATGTATTACTTAAAAATATTAAAACTGGACACGACAATTAATACAGATCCAGACATTCAGAATGCACAGCAAATAATTATGCCACACTTCTAAAAATATTCTGTTGCAAGACTGCACTACTTTGTAAACCCAACATTTGGGCTGTCAACAGAAAATGCCTGTTTTTGGTATCCTGGTCGATGCTTGGGACAATATTTAAGTTGTATACTGTTTAAACTGTGTATTACAGTGCTGTGTTTAGATGACATGGTCCGCATCCTGAATGGCTGCTTTTGTAAGTTGTATCCATTTACATGGGTTTACATTTCTAACACATACTGCTCTCTGGGTTTACATTAGAAATTGTTTGAACATGAACATTTACTCAGAAACATAATTACTTGCAGTAAGCTTCAGTTTTGTAACTGTTTTGGTTGTAATGATTATCAAATGTACCTAAGAGGTTTGTCTGAATTTTGGTCTACCTTTTTATCCTTCAGAAATCTCACAGTAGAATTAAAAATTTTGAGCATCAATCATATTATTATTTTAATTTTAAACATGTTATTAATTATATCCCTGAATGGAATGTTTGATTGATATATTTATTGTATGTTATTGTATTTTATACTTTCTTCTTTTTATTAGTTTCTGTTCTTTAAGGAGCCTGAAGATCAGGTCACCTACTGGATTGCCAAACTCCAGACCTTTGGGTTGATGGTGTAGCACTGACATGAGGAGCTCCACGGAAAAGCGAGGACCCTGTACAACAACTGACTGTCAGTACTGTGCACTGTGAAAGGAGTGAGAATGGGAAAGATAACCCCTTGTGACCATGAGCTGCCAGATCCCTCCAACCCTTTCCTGTGAGCGTGCCAATGGAGCCAGTGGCTGTGGACATTGTCCCACCCCTACCCACACGGACCCACACAGACCCACACAGCACTACAGAGGTATCCGCACAATTATGACTTTGCGGCGAGAAACAACTGTACAGTTCCCAAGAGACGGTTAGGGTCTACAGGCCTCACAGAGTCCAAGGCCCTTAAAGCTCACTCTTTTGGTACCGCATGATGAGCTAGAAGAAAGTGTGACCCCCTTTCTCTCCATGTGCAGTCTCTCTCCTTATCTCTCCCTGGAGATGAGAGTAACTAAAAGGTCAAAAAACCCTCTGCCTTTGTGAAGCTTCAAACCTGCCTCCTGCCTATCCTGTGTAACCGTCCTCGCCTCCAAACCAGGGTTGGACTGTTTCGCCACAGTGTTATATGTCACCTGTGTGCGTTTATTGAACTATACAGGTAAAGGAAGCCTTGTAGCTGTGGAGTGAATGTACTGTATTGTTTCCAAAATGACCTATAAATTCCTTAGAGACACCTAAACAAAACCTGTTGGACTTGGGTTGGGGAGCCTGCCTGGACAACCTGGACACCCTCGCTGGTCTGATTTATTTCCAAAACTCTTGAATTCAGAAGCACACTGCTGCTCCGAAGGTCTTTTCTCACAGCCTGAGGCAGCCAATCTGTGCCTCCATATATTTTCTAAAATCTGGGGTAAAAAGATAAGAGGGACAGATCATTTTTATTATTCAGGTGGGTAGCTGCGTCAGCATGCGTAGGCCGCAAAGGAACAAGTAATAGGTTTATTCCATGCTGAAAAAAAGAAGAAAGAGAACACAACGTTTCGCCGTGGAGCCTTCTTCAGGTGTCAGGTGAAAAACCTGAAGAAGGCTCCACGGCAGAAACGTTGTGTTCTCTTTCTTCTTTTTTTCAGCATGGAATAAACCTATTACTTGTTCCTTTGCATTTTTATTAATCATTTGACTTACGATTTTCCAGTACTCTCAGAAGTTCAAGTTGATGACTTCATCAGGCTGCAAAGGAACAGGTAAAGGTTTATTCCATGCTGAAAAGAAAAGAAAAGAAAAGCTACACAACATTTTGGCTGTGCAGCCTTCTTCAAGGATGAGGGAGAGAGGAAAACTGGAAGGTTGATAAAGCATGGGAGAACAAACGCCAGGAGTGGAGAAGAGGTGGGAGCAGAAGAGAAGCAGTATCGACACTCAGGCGGTGTGAAGTAAAAAGAGGTGAAGAGAGGTGTGAAGAGAGGATTAGATGGAAAAGAGTCTGTTGTTGGGAGAAGGGGGAAGGTGGGATCCTAGTTTCAGGATAAGTTTGGTTTTGGATGTCTTTCTGGAAGAGGAATTCCAAAACCCCTCTTTGAGACAGAGACGGAGAGATAAGTATGATCATGGCTGTTAGAGGTGAAATGGGAAACTGTGGGAGTGAAAGAGAGATCTTTCATTCTCTGAAATGGTCTCCCAGTCTCCTGCCTGTTTCACCAAGGTAAATAGCTGGGAATTTTCTGCAAGAGATGCAGTAAATAAAGTTGCTGGAAATACAAGATGCCATCGGAAGTGATCTGGAATTGATGAATATGTGAATATGTGAATATGCGTGCTATGGGATATATATTTACAAGTGATTCAGCAAGTTCTGTTGCAAGGGAAAGTACCTGGTGTGGATGGTTGCTGGGGGCGGTCTAGGGAACTGTCAACAAGAAGGTTATGCAGATTAGGTGGTTGTAGTATGATTGGGTGGTTGGAAACAGTGGAGTACAGTGGAGAGATCATCCTTTAAGATGGGGAAGTTGTTAATAGTCCTGGGAATAGAGAGTGTGTTAGGGTGGTAGGGAAGCACAGTGAACCACAATGAAATGCGGTTCTGAGACTGGGAGTTCCTAATTGATCAATAATAATTGATCCGAGGGCTGTTTTTGCCTCAGGCGAGGGCCCCGTCAATAACATAGGTGGGGTATCAATGAAAACAAGGGAAAAAATATTTAAAATGTTAAAATTGCGACACTTCTAGGTCATGTTTGTCTTTGATTTAGTAATCAGTCACGAGTTCTAATTGAATTTTAGAATTGCAGAAATTGTCCAAGGTTCTTTATCGGGGACCATACTGTATACCTTATGAGCAATAATGGCGTCCAAGACTCTGATGCTTTGCAAACATTTGAGTGTTTAAGTATAATAAGTTTTGGCTTAACTCGTTTGGTTAAGAGGCAACTTCCTGACCATAGGATGAGGAGGCTCAACCCTACAGAAAGAAACAAGTGAACCACAATGCCACCAATAGAAAAACAGAGACAGAAGAAGTGTACAGGCACCATATGGAATGTAGACATTATGTTGAAAAGAGATAGTAGACGTTTAAAGCTGTAGGACACCAGAGGTAGGATGTCAAATAGACTCAGGGCCGAATTGAGCACCTCCCTAACTTCAGTTAAAAACTTCCGTATGATAGCATGTTTAAGGCAACTTGTTCAAGGGACCATTTTTTGAATAACTGAATAAATTGAGGGTGTGGGAAAATTTGAATAAGTTATCAGATCAGCTCCACAGATCTATGTAGGAGAAACATTTTCACGCAAAGGAAGAAGGTTGTGGGACTGCGGAACGAGCTGCCCAGCCATGTTGTTGAAGCTGATAATCTTTCAAGAAACACCTGGATAAGATCTTTGGATCAATTAACTACTAAACTACCAAACATGCCGAATAGCCTCCTCTTGTTTCTAACCTTTCAAATGTAGTTTGTAGAGATACTATTGAAAGTGATACATTAACTCCATCCATTCACTTTCTAACCATTTCTTCCAATTCAGGGTCACTGGGGAGCTGGAGCCTATCCCAGCAAGCAACGGATGGAATGTAGGGTACAGTACATCCTGGATGGGACGCCAGTCCATCACAGAGCAAAAACACAGATACAGACACACATTCATACCAGGGCCAGTTTTCCCAGATGCCAGTGAAACTACCAGTAAACATTTAGACTGTGGGAGGAAAACCACACAAAAACAAGAAGAAAATACAGATACAGATTCCGTGCAGGTAGCATACCAGGTCTGGGATTGAACCCAGGGCCCCAGCGATGCTAAATACTGCACCACTGTACTGCCCAATACACATTCATTCTTAAATGAAATTTCCTCCAACTTTCCTTTTAAACAAGTTTACCCTGACATAAGTAAGATGAAATTGCAATGCATGACATTTGAAAAATACTGTATTTCTCCCCAACAAGGTATACATCATAAACAAAGTGCACTGACAGTGTATCACTCAGGTTTGTGTGCTGACTGTTAAATTACTCCCTAGGGGATGAATAAAGTATTTTGAATTAAATTGAATAACTTTGTAGTTAGTCCACTGTCATCATTGTAATTGTCAGTATTGCAAAATGTTCCTCCTTCCAAACCTAGTTTTACTACGTAAGAAAATGTCACAGGTTTAAAAATCTCACTTGACGTCAACATTGATGTCATTCTCCCTCCTCAGATTTTCGCTGAAGGCCGTGTAAAACAGGGACTGTTCATTTGGATAGCATGTCGGCTGAGGTTACTTTCTCTCTTTAGATATTGCTGTTGAGACACAGAGCAGACAAATCAAAAATACATTTTGACTGGTAATATATAGTTTTTAAAGCTTGGAACATGTAAGCTCTTTGTAAAAGAAGACAACAATGTAAAAAATCACAGATTTATTTTAATTTAATCTATTTTAATTACTGAAATTGGATGTGTTGTCTTCTGTCAATGCTAACTACTGTGCCACCAGATACCAATCGTTTTAAAAAAACTAAACTAGATCTGTAAACAAACACAAGTGGTTTAATCTTTAGACTTTTGCCAAATTACAGTGTAAGGTGTATCTAAGGTATATTTTACTCTATTAATTTATGTGTAGAAGGCTCTAACATGATTATTATCTTAAAATATGGTCATCAACATTTTTTTCTCTATACACTGTGGGGATATTTAATGCTAGAAACCATCATGATCAGAACTCAAAGCCAACGTCACCTTTACAGGATAGATATCGTATTTCTTGAGGACACGCTGGCACTGTGATGGATCTTTCTCAATTTCGTCAATGACCTAGATGACAAAATATTCTCTTAGATCATCAAGGCCATGAAAATCTCATTTTTCATGAGCTCAATAACATGTCTAACAGAGTGACATATTATTAATCTTTCACATAAAATCTTAGATGACTCTTCTCATCCACTCATTTTAAAACTCAGCCTATCACATCAATGTGCCACTAGAGACTGCAATTACCAATTAACAGCACTGATCTTGAGCTTAACCTTCTGGACATTGAGATTAATACAAGCTTCTTATTGTTCTCCTGTTGAAAATTCTGCTTGTGACCAGGCTTGAGCTTCAGGTCAGAAGATACTGCTTTTTGACTAAAATCTCCTGGTATACTTTGAAATCCACCAGTTCTTCAGTTCTATCTAGGACAGCTGGTCCAGAGGAAGCATACCACCTCTAAAGTAGAACAGACCCATTTCTGCTCTCCACATAAGGGTTGCTATTCTGGTTTACCATCAGCTTCAGCTTTCGTCCATTTGGTCTCAGCCATTGGGATTCAATTGGTCACTCATGTCTCACTATGGAAATCCTACATTCCAGAATGTATTCATGAGGCCAGTGATGAAGAGAGAGAGAGTGTCTTTATTATCCCCAGGGGACAAGTTGTTTTACAGCAGCAGTGTTGGTGTACATTGGTGTACAGACAAACAGGAAAAAAAAGACAGAACCAACAATATACAGACATATTTACATTGAAGGTCAAGGGGTAAGTAAGGATATGGCTACAGGTATGAATGGGAACTTAAATCTGTTGGTTTTGGAGTTGGGGAGTCGGTATCGGCGTTCTGATGGGAGTAACTGGATTAATTAATAAACAAGGGGTGAGAAGGATAATCGCAGATGGATTGTGCTTTACGCAAAACAAGTGAATGGAGAGATCAGCACCACTGACCTTCTGACATATTTTCACAAGTCTCCCCAGTTTGTTCCTGCTTCTCAGATACAGGTCACCAAACCAGCAATCCAGGGTAAAAGTTAGAAAAGATTCAAGGAAGGGGTTTATTTACCCACCCATTTTTCTGGGTTCACATTGAAAACCTTTAATCTACCCCACCAGACATAATCCTCTAGATTGTGAACATCACAGTCAGAACTCTCATGGATATATTACCTTTCTGATGGCTTCAGAGTACAGCTGTTTAGCAGATTTCCCCCTTTCAGAATCCTCCACAGTGTAGCCCAGAAGATCTGGATTCTTATCAACATCATGCACCCGGTTGAGTTTCCCATTAGTAAAGTGCCACGTGCTTTCATCTGCGTGGATGAACTCAGATAATTTGAGTCCATAGTGTTGTACATAGTGAAGGACTAGTCTGATAATATGACAAGAGTAACAGAATACAGAACATTTAAATGCAGAGGTGAGAAATATCAGAATGTAAATTCCTCTGTTAGGTAACTGTTGTCTTTAACAGATATGATCATGTTAATATAAAGATATAATAGTTCTGCCACAAAACTGTTGAGTCTCCTATTAAAATCCAACAGTAGGACAAGACAAATTTTGTCCAAAATATTGTTTAAAGCTCCTGTTCAGGGACCTGGGGTGTGTGTTTAAGTCAAAACTTGTCTTTACAGAGGAAGGCATTCACTCAATGTAAAGGAAATATGGCTTCAGAACATACAGCTAAGTTTCTTGATTAGACTTTTTAAAAGCTTGAAAACCATATCTGTTAGTCAAGAAGACATCTTGAGAAGGCGGATGATTCTTCAGGATGCTTAGAATTCTGCTACCTAGAAATCCAGATACTCGCAAGATTGTTAACATATCCTAGGATTGGATGAGTTCCTAGGATCACAGGGCTCAGGGGATTAATAGGAGTATATTGGAACAAGTAATAGGTTTATTCCTAGAAGAAAGGAAACACAATGTTTCTCTTTTCAGCATGGAATAAACATATTACTTGTTCCTGTACATATTTGCAACACTGCCACCTGTCTGCACTGCTCTGTTATTTCTAACCCTCCTGATCCTAGGCAGGGAGAAGGAAGCAGTGCTGGGACTTGTTTATGGAAGAAGATATAGTGAAAACATTGAGAAACCTGTTATACTCTTGTGGAATGCTGCTGTTTAATCTCTTGATTTTTAATCAGTGATGACCTATCATGACCTAGAGTGATAAAGGAAAAAACATCTTAGATGTGCACTGGAGCCCTGGGTTCAGGTCTAGACCTCTGTGGAGAGCTCTCTGATGGGAGTTTGTGTGCTCTCACCATGTTCTGTGTGTTGTTGCCCATAGTCAAGAAACACACAGTACTGGTAGCTTAGCTGATTGCTAGAAAAATTGTCCCTGGTGTGTGCATTTCTGTGTTTGTGTCTGTCCTGCGATGGACAGCCCGTATCCTGACTCAGGATGTCCAGCTCCCAGCAAGGCTGTACTGGATAAGACAGGTTAGAAAATGGATTGTAGTTCCGTTTAAGGTACCAGCCTGTAAGAGCTGGGGGATGCTTTTAATCTGGTTAAGTTTAGTTGCTGATTAGCTTGAGGTCAATAAGACCAGGATCAATTCAGTTACTAGTGACAAAGGAAGCTGCAAGAAGAATCTTTTATCAGGGGCCCAATAGTGATTGTCAATAATCTGACATTCTGGAAGAGAAGAGCAGGTTGCCTTGTCACATAAGGATGAAAGAGCTCAACTCCATTTTGAAATGCATAAACATCTCCATCACTTCTTTGTTCATGTTACATCCCAGTGGAGAATAAAACCTCTTGATTGAGGCATGTTTTTGAAGAGGAAAATCGAAAATCCCTTATTAGGCAAGTGTAGAGAATGAACCCATCCATTTTCCAGTGCAGGGTCACGGGGCAGCCACAGCCTATACCACACAAACACAGGGAGAACAAACTACTGTACATAGACAGCACTCCAGGTCCATTATTGACCCCAGAGACTCAGAGCTGCAAGGCAGCAATGCTGACCACTGCAGTGCACAGTCAGTGAACTCTAACTATTGCTTGAGCAGAATATAATACTGTAGGTCAATTGCAATGGACTTTGATACAGCACACAGCTGCTTTCTAACTAGAACTACTTTCTAACTTTGCTGACTAGTTAATATGGTACCTTGTGGTGTATATCTCCAGCTCTGAGCTCACTTGCAACACAAAATGTGTGGAACAAAGCTGCAGAGCATCTGAACTTGTGCTTAGTACGGTGCTGAGGGCTCTAATGTTGTTGTTCTAATGTTGTTCTAATGAGCACAAACTGCTGGAGGCGCCCGATTCAGAGCATTTCAATTCATCTGATTAATAAGTTATTATATAGGCCATGTTAATATAATTACTGTCTGTCTCATGTTCATATAACTGAGTAATTCCCAGACAAATAAAGTTTTAATTTAAGAATTTAAGAAGTGCATTTGTGCTAAACTACACCAAATGAGGGTCTGTAACTACAGGTACTAGTGCAAAACTGAATTGCAATTAGTCAGGAAAGAAATTAGTACAGCAGCTATAGATTTGAATTGAACCATATTGTAATAGCTTTTATTTCTATTGTGTATAAGCAGCACTATTTCAGCTCCTCTTGTGCCAAATCAAACTCTGAAGCTAACACTCCAGGGAAACACTCAGTCAGGAGTTGAAGGAATTCTCATGGCACCCAGATCTGCCCAGCTCTGCCAGCCCCTGCTCTCATATACTGTAGCTGTACTATAAAGTTGAGTCTTATGCACTTTCAGTTTCTTTTCTCTTTAGCAAACCCTCAAATTTCCCTACACAACTATTTCTTTGTACCCCTAATCCCTCAAGATCCCTGATTTCCCCTGAGAACCACAAGTGTAGAGTTCCATCCCAATAAAAATATTCATTACTCAGATGTGAGCACATTTAACACTTACAGTAGATACATTTCAATGGAGTGTATTTCCTTCAATTGCCAGAATATTCACCATCACATTCTAAAGGCTCTACATGAATTAGATGTAAATGTAACAGACAGTCATTTATTAATGACTCTGGGGTTAGAGCAGGGGATGCCAACAGGCTGAACAAGCTCATCAAAAGAGCAAGTTCTTTCATTGGGTCTGATCTGGACCCCATGGAGGTAGTGGCTGAGAAGAGAATGGTGTCCAAATTAATGACCATCATGGACAACGTCTCCCACCCCCTCTATGACATGCTTGTCAGAATGAAGAGCACGTTCAGCAATAGGTTGATTCAACCATGGTGTGACAGGGAGCGCTACAGGAGGTCATTCTTGCCTTCTGTCATAAGACTTTTCAACTCATCCACTATGTGTCTGGGCAGGGGCAAAATTGACATTGACCTGTTTTTAGACTAAAAATAAATTCTCTGTTTACAACTGATTTTTGTGCAATATATGCTGGGGATTTGTGCAATATATTTATAATGTGCAATACATCTTTTTGTGTACTGTACATTCTGGTTTGTTTTGTATCTTCTGTACTGTGAGCAATTCTGTATACTCAATTTTTTACTTTTAACTGCACTTCTCACTGTCTGTACTTACTGTACTGTATTATTGTATCATTTTGTTACACTGTGCTGTGTTGACTATGCCAGGCTGCTGTTGCACTGCAATTAATTTCACAGAATTAATAAAGTATCTAATAATGTTGAATAAACTTAATTAAGAATAATTGTGATGTAACAGAAAGCAATTTTAATTAATTACAACATGATCCATCACTTGGAGAATTTCTTAGTGACAGTTCCATTATATTCCATTTCCACTATACATCGGAACATTCTAACGTGATCCAGTGTTCTGCTTAGTACGCTTCCAAGATGCTTAAACTACTGTATATGTAGTTATATGGAGGTTAAAGTTAGTTCCCTACTTTTAGAACGACTAGAGGGCAGCAGCTGTTACTTTGGTTTCACTGCAATTGAGAACAAGTTAGTACAGAGCTGCTTACTAATATCAGCGACCAAGTTCATTGCAATTGTTCTTAAAGTAGCACTCTAGTCTAATATGGAGCTGCATGCTAACCATGTGTTCACAATTTCAGGCTAATATTGTTAAATAGCCTGGCATGACCATTTAATATCTGAGCTGTAGCAATAATCACAATTTTGTTCTACCAACTTACTCAATAGTAAAAAGTTAAACATCAGCACTATTTCAGGTCATCTTGTGCCTTATCAAATCCTGAAGCTAGCACTCCAGGGAAACACTCACTCATGAGTTGCAGGAATTCTCATGGTGCCCAGCTCTGCATGCCAGCCCCTGCTCTCATTCCTGTAGGTGAGAATGCGCCCCCCCACTCGGTCACTGGCTTCCAAGATCTGGACCTGTAGAGAACAAGTCACTATGGGTACAGAGGACAAGGGTAACAGGACTGTGACAGGCCTATCTCTCAGCTGCTGACTGATGGGAACCAAGCACATAAAGAAACACACTTAAATCAAATTACCATAAAGAAACTTTATTCAATCAAAGGACTATACTCAACACAAAACCCAACACCTACTACCACTCTGAGTGTCTCTTTATATACCAAACTAAGTTTAAATTAATCCTTTGTAAGAATATGGCCTGCAGCCCTTCACCTGTTATTTAATTAGTCTTATGATGAATCATGTAATGCAGTTTTCGATGAACGGAAGACCTAATGACCTCTAGTGGCAGGTCAGCTGAAACGATAATCTTAATTAATGCTGACACAATGCAATGACAGGTTCCTGCTGGGGTACTATTTGCAATACTATATTGGCAAATATATTCCTGCAATAAAAATTTGTAAGTGATCTGAATGTGGTGGAGAATGGTAGCCAATAGAAAAGAAAATGTGTCCTGTCTGGGATATTTTAATGGTTCCTTTGCTCAACACCATTCTGTGCCTGATTCTCCATGTGGTATCATCAATCCCGAGTGTGTTCCGTGTCAGTGTTTATGTGCTGGAAGTGGCATTTATGTGGCCCTTCAACTCCGAACAGCTGAGAGAGGAGAGAGCTCCACCTTTCATGCATGGATCCTTTCTGCTTGTGTCCTCCATTTACTCCAGTTCTCAAATGGAATAAAGCAAGCCAATATAGAAATATTTTTTAAAAATGCTGAAAACAAGAATTCCTGAATGTGTTCTTTTCAAAGGTACTGTTTTCTAACTGTATTACTGACAATACAGCATCCACAAAATGTTCCTGTTTTGCAAATTATGCTGCTATCTGTCCATACATTTCTTATACATCACATCTAATTAAAAAAAAAAACAACTCATGGCCACCTGGCACCATAGCAAAATTGGCCCTTGTGAATGAAATTGATGTTTTTTAAGAAAATAAATAAACATGAGAACAGACCATAAAATCTTTGCTGAATCAATATTGCAACTTAAGGTCTCCAAAATTCAACCCGGAGCAGAAGAGTAATATAGTGTCAGTGGATGAGGTGTGGAAGGATTTACTCAGTCCTGAGCCACTTCAGTTACCACAAGCACCAAACAGGATTCTAACACCTTCCATCCTCCAGCATCCCACGTCAGCCTGCTCTGCTAAGAGGATTGTCAAGCAGTTGGGCGGAGACGGAATTGCTGAACCAATCTTAACCTGCTCTATACTAGAATAATGTACTGTACATGTTTTAGAAATACAAGGCTGGAACATTATAATAACTGTCCCCCACAAATCAGAACAGGGGTCAGAGACTCAGTTCATGGAGCGTCTAGTATCTTCTGTTTTTGTTCCTCCTGAGTTTCATAGTTTGTCTACATGATTAATGTCATAAGATAAGATACGATCACTTTATTAGCCATATACAATTTCTTGTATTAGAAATTTGTCGTTTCACATACACCAGCTTGCTCTCCATGAGACACACAGACAGGGAGAGAAGCTGCTTGGGGTCAGAGCACAGGGTCAGCCATTTATACAGTGCCCCTGGAGCAGCTGGGTTTAAGGGCCTTCCTCAGGGGCCCAACAGGGCAGGATTTCTCTGCCGGCCACAGGATTTCAACCTTCCAGCCACAGGCACAGATCCTTAGCCACAGTGCCACTGCTCCCTATGTTACCGGATAAGTATGGTCATTTATAAGTAGGGTCATTTAATTACCTGAGCTTTTACTGCCATTAGCAATATGATTGTTTTCACTAATTAGCTGTCCAGGACCTTAAGAAGTACAAGACCAGCCTGTAGATGTCTAACTGTGCAGATCATGGAGTTGGAACAGAAATCAGAAGACGCTAGACCCTCTAGGAGCTGAGGGTGAGACTCCTGCCTCCTGAGACAGTATGGGAAAATCATACGTTGTGTCCAGCATCCTCCAGGAGTTTGGCAGTGATTAATCCGGAGATCCCTGCTCCGACAATCACAAAGTTCTGCACATGTGCTAAGAGCTTGCACATGTGCTAAGAGCGCCACAAAGCAGCCCAGCAAGACGACTTTGGGGAGAAGAGCAATATCAGGTTAGGCAAAGGACACAAAAGCATTAACATGTGCCGTACAGGGCAAAGAAGTTATAAAAAAACTATACAGAGGTACAAATCAATAACCAGACAGTGACTACACTTGTTTCTGTGAGTTTGACAGACATACAGGGGTACTAACATTTTAATACACAAGGCCCAGTGACTCAGATTCTTAGGTTCTAGAACAGCTCAGGCTGGAGGACCTTTCTATATTTTCTTAAAAGCTAAATGCATGTTAATGAAACACTGTGTGGCAAATGGCACCAGAGACATCAAGTCATTAATCTTTTCTTGTCTCTCTTCATCCCACTGACTGATGCTCCCTGCTTGAACCCTCACCTGTACACTGTACACCTAGCACTCTGCTTGAGAGAAGAGTCAAGGTCTGGGAGGTGAACTGTTTTGGAGGCTTGATTAAGGGATTGCTCTGTGATGACAATCTCATCAAAACTGCCTCACTAACTGGACAATATGTCCTTTGCAACCACTAAACTGGATGAAGCTAAATTTAGAAATGAAACGTTAAAATTAAAATCAAACTTTAAGATTTTCAATTATTCATTTTTACATAAGTAAATTACACTTTTAATTTGCAAATAAACATTTAGTTTTAACATAAAATGCAGTTGAGCTGAAAACCTTCCAGAATAGCTTATGATTTAATGAGAATCGTTAGAGAGAGAATCAAAAAAACATAGTTACTTGCACATGATGCCATGGTCCCAGGCTGCATTTTTCCTTTCTATAAAGAAAAAACAAGCACAATCAGACCTTTGCACTGAGGTACAGTACCATCTTAACTATATAGTACCGGAGAGTCCAACTGGTAGGAGTTGCTGGTGTGGAGACGAGCACTAGACTTCCTTGCAGTTTGCTGAATTACTCAATTAATCCCAGAAAAGTGCGTACCTGTTACAAAACTCCCTGTAAGTCGACTCAGTTTGGATGTTTAAACCAGAGGGGGATAATTATGTCTTCAGCACCTACCGTGTGTCCATTTAAGAAACAGAAGGACAACAGTTCTAAATAATAGGGTTGTTTTATCACAGCTATGCTATGTGGGATTCAATTTTAAAACTACAAAAGAGCTGCATGAATAATTATTTTAATGAGACATTAAAAATAAGTGCACAAGTAGAACATCCATGTTTCCATCACTAGAATCCAAAATAATAGCATTTTTGTTGGGTTTCCCTTGTGAAAAATGTTTCTAATTGTCACTTACCTGGAGGGATGATCTTGTCACGTTCAGAGTTGTGAATCCACCTGTTGCCCTTGTGTCTCGTATTTATATCTTCTCTGCAGCGGGAAGGAGAGCATCTGTTTTGGCAATCTTTGAAGGAAAGACATCCGCGCCTCACAGTCACTTAACTCGTTTTTCCAGAAAGTAGTTTGCCCAAGAAGCCATGCGGGAAAAAGTATTCATTTTGTTTATTGATAATTTGCTTTTATTACACAAGATGAATTAAAGGCAAAGAATCAGAAGAAACAGCAGTAAGTGAGAGCTAGCTTCATACTTTGACAAAACTTACATGTTGCCAGCCCCTGAGGAAATTAAAAGAACCCAGTCCCATCACACAGCCTCTTCTTGTGAAGCAAAGCATGAAGATTAGATTTTCTGTAAATTCCTCCAACATCTTTCTCAAAACATATTGTTTCTTTTGTGAGGAAACAAGCTATGTTTTAGATGTGTCTTTCAGTGGAGCTGTCCAGTCTCTTTAGACAACATATTGTTAACAAAGGTAGGTTTGTGTTTGGCATTAACCCACTGACCATGGGTTAAGTGTGTATGAGTGCGTGCTTGTGTCTGTCTGCCCTGGTTCCATGAGATACTTTCCCATCAAGTGCCAGGGCTCTGGGTTCAGTTCCTGGGGTGCTGTCTGTGTGAAGTATTTATATCAGGTCCAGTCTTGTTATACCTGAAGGACAGCTGGTCCAGTGGTTCAGGTCCAGTCTTGTTCTGATAGGTTAGGTCCAGTCTTGTTAGATCAGGAGGACAGCTGGTGTACTGGTTAAGTTCTAGGGCACATCTGATTCAGTGGTTAAAATCCAAGAAGTGTTATACCACAAGGCCATCTGGCCCAGTTTTTTTAAATAAGTTTTGGAATACTCATGGAAAATATATACTGATGGAAAAAAGAAATGCATCACCTCCTCCTCCACACAGTGGCCCTCCCATTTCCATGGAACAGGCTGAAGAATGACTCACCCGTGAAGAGGACCTGATGCCTCTGCTGACGAGTCCATCACAGCCTCTGTCTGGTCCACGCCAGTCAGGTGTGATGTCTAGGAGGTGAGAGCAGAGGGTCTCTGACAGGTCACCTTGCTCTAAGTCCAGCAGCATGGAGTCTCACTGTCCTGTCACTGATACAGGCATTGTGTCTGCCTTCAGTCTCAGCAGCATTACGGGTGGGAGATCTGAAACAATCTCTCAGATGGACCAGTCTGGTTTGTCGGTCCTGCTCTGGTGTAGTCACTTGACGGCGACCGGATCTTGGACATTGGATCTGTTGACATTCTAGGCATTATGTAATGCACAGAAAAGTGACTAAGTGTGGCCTTTTTCTTGCAGTGACCTAAGCTTTGAATTAAGGCCTTTTTAAAGGTGACCTGATCAGGCATTGTTCCACCTGGACCTCGTTGGGTAAAAGTGCACCTAACAAGCTTTTTTGTGATTGGCAAGTTGCAATGTCCACTGCACAAGCTGTATTGCTGGTCAGAGGGCTTAAGACATATTGACTATTTTTCGTGAAAGTACATAAGCTATAACTATAGTATTCTCATTCCAGAAAATGTTGGGGGTTTTTCCATCAGTATACAAGTATACTGTATATATGAATACCGATTACACAAATGATACAATAATGCTAATATTGTCAATCAACTATACTAGTTGATTCACACAAAAAGAAATGTTTGGAAAAAAACACAATAACCCACAAGAGGAATACATTCTTTATTGCATTGATGATTCCTCCCTAGCCTTTGTCTGCTCACATTCTTTTTTGGTTGGCTACATTTAGGGAACATTTTCATTCAAAGGACTGAACTGCACTGTATATTGTACAGTGGTCCTGTAATGGTGGGAGCAGACAGGGGGAGACCACAATTATTCCTCATCAGCTCAAGTAAAACCTGGCAAAAGAAAATAAGTTATATGCATCTTATTTCAGTGACTATGAATTATGGTTCCTTACCAAAAACTATGAGGGGGACAAATCTGTTCTAAAGCAGAGGAACAATACTGTTGCCTCTGCAAAAGCCAGAGAAGATGCCTGGTAAAGAATCACAGATAAATGTAATGTGAAAGTTATTCATGTAATGCAATGGAGTATCTCAGGATATAACAAAATATTTGAATTTGGTGAGCACTCATGTACATTATTTAAATCACTTTACTTACAACTTTATGGTATTGAAGTGGAGTTTGCATTTAAGCCTTTAAGTGATTGTACTGTATTTTTATACAGCATTAATTAATAAATATATAGTAATACCTTATAATAAAAGCAATATATAAATGCAGCTTTACCATAACAGGAGGACCTGGCAGCAGATCAAGAACATAAGTGTAAGTGGTTCTTCCTTAGAACTTGTCCTGCCCAGTCCTGGGCTCATTATAACACACTGGGGTTGCTGTCTGTACACCCATCCCACTATCAATCAGGGACTCAGTCTCCCAATGAATCAGGCCAGTTGTAATCCCTGGAATGCCACTGTAAAGGTGCTCTAACACTGATGTAACTGAAGTAGTGCTACACTCATCTGTACTCTATGAGATGTGTTAGCAGAACCCTAAAACTCCCAAAAGCCCTGAAACCTTAAACCTGTTACTTGTTAGAGCGTATATCCTCAGTGGATCACAGGAGTTGAGTTTTTTTCTGAAATGGCCTGTGGGAGGCTACTCTTGAGTCGACTGCTGGTTATTTCAGCACAAATGTTTCAGAAGGGCAATGTTACATGAATAACCAGTAGCACAGTGGTGAGTCATTAATACACTTAGATGTTGCTGTATTTACCAGTTTTTGCATTTTGCTCTGATCCATTGAAATACAATTCTATTTCTTTCAATTATTTAACAATTTCACTGTTAAAACTATTATGACAAAACAACAGCCAGTGTTAAAAAATGAAGACAAAATAAAAAATCTTGGTGTTCAAGAAAATAATAATGAATAATTTCACAACTTAACATGAGGAAATATATGAGAGTTCTGCATTGTTTTTTAAAATTGCCACAGTTGTGACGATAAAGCAGTTTAAACCCTAACCCTGGTTATTATAACATTTTTGCATCTTTTACTAAAGACTCTGTCCATTTGTACTTTTTGGATATTCTTTGTTTCAAGTCAAAGGGAAGACATTAGTATACATGGCTGAACTGTGAACTTATATTTTCTTTTCCAAAAGTAGACTTTCCCTCGAAAATCTGCACAATTCATGTTTGTACAGCTCATGTACAGTATCCCGAACACATAAAATTATAAGTGTAAATATGATAAATTAGAAGTAGGCTGAATACTAGTGAATTTATCAAAATTGACACTATATGTGATGTACAAGAAAGCTTATTCTGTTCTTATACTCTTCTATTTGATCATTAATTTCTACACCCACGCTTTATTCCTGCCAAATATCTTTCATCAGAGAACACTGATAACAGCTGTTTCATAACCTGCATTCTTTCACATTTACACACCTTTTCCAAGGACTATGACAGCTAGCCCAGACAACAGGTTAGGTTTCTTTTCTTACAAATATGCAAAATAGCTAAATTAATAGTATAAATGAGTTTTAAAATACATTTTAAAAAAGTATTAAAGTATATATAGTCAACAGTGATTGCATCACAGTTTGACATCAGTTGAATAAAGAGTTTAACATGACTCAATACTTTAAAACTTCATATGTT